GGTTAGGTAGAAAATCGCATAATTTGGAAAATGTTAAAATACAATAATTTAATAATTTAAATTAGAACTTTAACTCTTATTTCAGCTAATTTCTGTTTTAGAGCTTGAAAGCTTGATAGATGCTTAAAAGGTAAAAATGATTAAAATAAAATAATATAAATAGGTAGGTATTTATAGGTATCTGGTGTTTAAAATACGTGTTACACTTATGTAACATAAAAAAAAATTTAGTTCTATGCAGGACTATTGTGAATGCGCTTAATCTTAATTAGTGTTAAACATTTGAAAATCTTCAAAAAATGTGTATTTCAATATTCACTATAACTCCTCCTATAAACCCCATTTCAATTTAAGGTTACATGATAAAAATATTCCTCTGCATGATTAATTTATCCCACCAAATACTTATGTGATGGTAGGAAAACTAGATAAAATATAATATATACAATCACAATTAATTAAAACTTAGATAATCTATAGAGATAGTTATAGGTAAAATAGGTACCTAAATTAAAATTATAGGCAAAACAATGCTATTTACTTAAAATAATCTTATATTTCTGTGGCGTCATTTGCAGGATGCATCCCATGATTTTTTTTTAACACACTTTTTGTGTAGATCCTCTCATAGAATCATAGTACCTATAAAACAAATAACAATAATGTTGGTATTTTTTTTTTTTTGATTTATCACAATATTTTGTGCAGCACCACTACGTATAAAAAAATATAATATTGTTCACATGTATAATTCAACCAAATTATTATAATATTATACAATCTGTGATACAAATAATAAAATGGTACACAATCATGCGAGCAACTTAGATATTACTTTAGATTTTCAATATTGGTTTTGCATTCCATGAAAAAATGTAAAATGACGCCCCTGTTATATTTCTTACTAGATTACCTACTAATTTCCAAAAAAAATATATTATTATAGATTTATAGACTATTATAGGTAGGTATCATCTATATTATTATAATAGAGTATAATACCAATACAAAGTTTGAAAATGTTGTTGGATTTAAACAGTGGTGTAACTATGGGGTAGCGAGGGGTAGTGGTCATGACTCCAAAAATTGTTTTGGGATCGCAAGAGTATCATAAGTTTAAGCAGTTATCAGAACAATATACGTTACCTATTTGTAAATGTTCGTGTCATAAAACTGCAAATATAATAATTATTTATAGAATTATTTACGAGGAAGTTATGCGTAAATAGTACCCATCCATTGTGCTTATATTATAGAGAATGTGAAGCATATATAGAAGYGTTCGCTACCTCAAACATTTGCTGCTAGTTACGGCAGTTACGCCACTGGATTTAAATAACAATATTTGTAATTAATCATTATACACTTATGATTTATGAACTTCGGCATAATATATTTAATATCATTCAATTTAACAAATTATTAGTGTTTCACATTGAGTTGGCAGATTTTGTACACAAATCTATAAATAAATTCATATTTTTATCATATAGCCAAGGAACAACATTGTTACATAATTTCAATGGGTTCTGTAGTACAATTCTGTTGAAACTGCCAAAATTAGTGTTTATAAAAGTTTCACATTTTTCAAACTTCTCAATTTKACATCGATAATTCCCTATATCATTAACTTTACTTATAAATGTTGAGTAAAATGTTTTTTTGGGAATAAATTCACCAAGCACAGGACACAACACATTATTTTGTAATTTGATTGAGTTTGAGTCTGAATAGAATTCAAAAACATAACGAAGTAATTCCCATGTTGTAAGACTTGATTTGGCAGACATATTTACAATTTTTTGTTTTAATTGATCATAATTAAAACAAATACGTGTATCCCAACCTGATAAAAAAATATAAATAATTATTCAAAATATCAATGATTTATTTTTATTATCTATCAATATTCATTAGTCATAATTCATAACTACTCATCAACTACACTCATAACCCATAATGTATATACATAATACATGTAATTCGCTGCAATTTATGATATTATATTTATTATAACTATTATAACTATTGTTTATCATTATCACATTTTTCAATATTTGTTTTATCAATAATTTAATGATTGATAGCATATTACACACGATTGCATAATGTAGTACAAATAGTATAATATACCTAACTATATACAGGGTGTTATTGAAATGGTTGATGTAACTAGTATATGCGTACTYAGTGTGATGACCCATTATTAACAGTGTGTTGTTAATTAATAACAATGAAGATTTTTTAGAAATTTTTTTCAATCTTCAAAATCTGGGTTTATTTATCTTATTTTTAGAACATTATCTTAAATGTGAAAATTAACACTCATGTTGTATGTTTTGCAAAATTCTCATACGAATCGAGGTGTCACRTMATTTTTACGCTTGTCTCGCGTATCGCGTTTTTCATGCTCGAATCGCCGACTAAAAACAAAAATTGTGTGACACATTGATTCGTAAGAGAAAACTAAAAGGTAAACATTGGTGATAGTTATTTGTTATCATTTACCATAAGTACAAAATGAAATGTTTATCTTATCGAGTCAAAATAATTATGTTTACTGCGATATCCAAAAACTGGACTTTCAGTATAAATAGGAATACAAATATTTAGTTTCATTTATCTCTAACTTATGAGTTATGACTTATGACATTGCGGGTACAAGTTACCATATTTTATTACATGTACATCTAAAACACATAATATCTAAATCTAACTTAAATTAGTTAAATTCGATCATTTACAACTCTGTCAACACTAGTTTTGTTATTATTTTATCATTTTTATTAGTTTTATTAGTAGATGAATAAACCCAGATTTTGAAGATTGAAAAAAATTTCAAAAAAATCTTCATTTGGTCATCACACTGAATACGCATATACTAGTTATCTCAACCATTTCAGAAACTCCCTTTATAATATATAAAATATAAACGATGAAGTAATGAATATCTATGGTTTATAAAATTTAAATGGTATTAAAAAAATGTTATAAAATATAATAATATATACCTATAAAAAATACGATTAGGTTAAATAACTACTTGCCTATTTTATGTCTAAACAATTACACTGCCGTTATAAATATTATTAAATTTATCTTTTTACATAAAGGTATATATAGTATATTAATAGCATTSAATTGAATACTATAAGCCTATACCTAATTTATTTTTAAGTAGGTAGGTGATAAACTATATGTCTATATATAATAGTATAATATTG